TCAGAAAGGCAGATGTGGCAGTGGAAGGTGTCAAAGCAGTTTGGAGAGAAAAACAAAATAAAGAACAACAACAACAAAAAGAAAACGATTAATCGATTATTAAATTAGTCATCGATTATTTTAATAATCGATTAGTCGTCGATTAATTGATTAATCTTGGCAGCCCTACGGGACAATGGAGAGAAGTTTTCAGAAATTTCTTGCTATCAGGCAAGTTCCGTCTCTTCGTCAGTCCACACGTACCTGTTGTTGAGTCAAGCTGTGTTTTCATACATTATGGGAACATCCGAGAAGACGCCYATAACAGAAAACACCTGATTGATCATGTGAGGTAAATGTTCGCTTAATCGGCAAATGTGTTTCCATCTCCCCTTTTGGGCAGTAACTCTTATTGAGAAATTCTATACACKACATCAAGTGAGCGTAAAGATTTTTTGGGGAAACTGACGTTTTGTTTTTATTTTGCCATTTCCATCWACCCTTTCTAATGTGATACTTCAAAATGCAAAATAAAAAAATGTTGATGGAAAGAGTTATTTTTGTACTCAAAGCACCATGATGTCGTCACTATCTTGCAGTTCATCTTCTACAGTCTGAGGCAACTGTGCCATTTATAAAGCACATAAAGTGTATATTTCTGTACTTTGACATTTACAAAAGCAGGAGCTTATTTTGTTCCTTCTTGCATAGAACCAAATGTCGCAGAGGCTGTTGCTTTTGATCAAAGTAGAGTCCTTGAAACACTCTCCTTGGCACTTTTCAACACCAAAACAAAGTGCATTTCATGTGTCTCTCTTTTTTGTATCTCTTCAAGGCTGCATGTCTTTATTCAGCATGAACACACAGAAGTGTTTGTACATGCAGACGTATACATTACAAAGAACATCTACCCAACGTGACACCTTTAAAAAGCTAAACGTACTCTGCCTTCTGCATTTGTGCATCTTTTGACGTTCCTAGTTGCACACAACTGACGCACACAGGGGTACTTGAAGAGGCACTGCGGGGGCCAAATCCAGTCCTAAAACAGCCATGTGACCTCAAAACTAAATATCACACCGCGACCCATTAGCTCCCCGGTGAGTGAGGTCTGAGGGAGTGAGAGGCTGAGCCAATCACGCATTCCTGGGATCCTCAGCAGGAGGGAGGGCCGAAACACAAACAGGAGAGGAAGCAGCAGCCGCAGGTATAAAAGCGTCAAAACCACAAATTCAAGTGTCGATACGGAATAAATCAAAACCTGGCAAAAGGATTATAATGTTTGATTTACACCCTGTTCATCCCTGATTCTGCACATACCATTCCTCCAAACAACAAGGAAACATCGTTTTCATTCAGAGCCACCTACTTGAATATAGCCACTCCTCTGCTATCTCAAATGGTCGGGATATCAGGGCCTCCTTAACAAGCATGGGTGAGATTTGGTTGTGAACACTACAGTTATTCAGGTTCCCGRGAGTCGCCCAAGATGAGCTGCTGGAGTTTTGTTATTTTGTTGCTTGAAAAAGMTTAAAAAGAAACTATCAAACTCATCCACACTGAATGTTGAAGTGCCTCACTAAGCTAAGATTATCAAAAATGCCGCATACAATAGGACTAGACGATATGGCGGAAAAAAAATGCATCACGATTTAAGTGTTTCCTATTAGTCGATATCATGGACRGGGAGAAAAAAGCTGATTGATCCTGCCAAACAGATGATGTGATCTTTTCTTTTTTTTATCCACAATTTCATCTCAAGCTGTTGCCTCACAACTTCATGTCATTCTTAATTATTTTGAAGCATTTGGTGAAATATCAAACTGCTACRGTGCATGCTCCTTAACAGGTTGTTGCTAGRWTATCAAAGAGTGAGTGAGTTAGTATTTTCTTTTGATGTTGATCACATGTCTATCACAGTACTTATTGCTCTATCAGCCAGTCCTAGCAGGTAAAATGCAAGGAATGCCATCTCCTTTTCATAGTTTGTTCACAAGTTGAGAAATAAAGCGTTAGAGAGTCGTGCCAARGCTGTCAAGAATTTTGAGAAACCTCCAAGTACTAAGGAAGTCATTTTGAAACACTCTTTGTAACAAGTGTGTTACAATGAGCAGAGACAACCTGATAATGTGCTTTGGAAAAACACTCATTTWGACAGTGTTGTGTACTGTTGGTCTATCAGCCATCTTGTGCAGCCCGGCCCACCTAGCAGGTTATCCGTCACAGAACCACAGAGCGTCCAAGTGTGGCCAGGCCAGCTGATGGGAGCAGAAGCCGTAATTACATGGACAGATTGAATGTCAGCTTGAGAACTAGGCTTGGGGTTGGCCACAACTGCTCACTTTGGTTTCAAGTATTAGAAAACAAATACATGCTGAACAAATATTTATTTCTTTGGTAAACTTCATAGTCAAGAATAAAAACAAGAAAAATCTCAAATTCATTTATTTTTAAGTGCAAATATGTCTATTTTTTAGATGTCGGGGGTGTGTTTTGCCAATTATATCTTAAAACAATAAAAGAAACGGAAAGACAAACTGCAAATCTGTCCCACAAAAAGAAGCAGTGCAAAAACAATTATTTGTGGTTTGTTCAGTGGGGAAAACTTTGAAAACCTTTCATCAAATGCCACAGCAAACCTGACCAAACTGACCCAATCATTTTCGACACAAAACCTTTCAAAGCAAGTCATTTACTTTGAACGCACTCTGCCTGCCTCAGCAGGGAAGTGATGGCCTGAACAAAGTGTCATAGGTCCAGATGGTGTCCAACAAACACTCACCATCCTTCTTGAACCATGACAGTAAAAGAAATGCAGCAAATGAAGGGAAAAACATCACAGAATCCAAAAATCACCCCAATTTTYGAAGAAATCTGCATTTGTCATCAACATTTACTGGTTTTTAGTCTTTTTTGTCAGATTAGTAGAAGATAAAGCTATTTCCCATAAGAATAAAATATGAGTCTCACCCCTTGTGGCGCCAACTTCTTGGAGTTTCCTGCAACAAAAACAAAARGAAATGATTATGTTCTATTTGCATAAAATATATCTTGACTGAYGTGCTTTATTTCAAATATCCTGGAAAAACAGCAGGCAGATTGTGTTTATCTGCCTTAGGTTGTTTTGGCTCACAAAAAGACAAAAACAATCTATCCACAGGAAAAAAAGGAAAGAAAAGACAAATTTATCAGAAGAAGCATTTATAGAAAGCCTTCAGGTTGTGTTTGCAAGTTTAGAAATCGCAGCTGCCGTGTTTTGTATCATTAAAAATAGTAGAACTGGAACCCTGTAGCTCCAAGTTGGGAAAGTCAGTGTTGTTTTGCAACATGGTGATTTTTCTCTCCTTTTCCTTGTTGCTTTAAAAAGATCCAGAGATTGTTTAGATCTATAGAGGAGAGACGCTCGAGTTCAAACGCCTTCAGGAAAACGGTGTTTCCGAGAAAAATCAGATCTGTCACCCACTCAGAGAGATGAACACACATCTCATTCCTGAGGTCTTGTGCGGTGAAGGGTCCTAAGTTTGATTGAAGAGCCGTGGCACCGCTACAGTCCATCTGTCKGAGCCTCTCTCTTTGCATACAACTGCCTCTCTATCTCACCGACACACCGTTAGTCACCTGCAGATCAATCCTGATCTTCTTTTAAAATAACAAAGACTAACAGTATGGAGTACCATATATATAATCCTACATTAAAAAAGGAGACCTGGTTCAGACCGATTAAATGGCTATTTCCATAACATTTTCTATAGAACTAGCTTTGGAACTTTCCACACCAACATATTCATTGTGAAGCAGGCAGATGGTGCTGCTCAACAAGGGTACTAACCTTTATGTGCAACCCGAACCTATTAGAAATCTAACTGAAGAGTAAATGTGAGACATTCTACAAACTCAGACCATGGAATTTAGGATTAAAGAAAATATAATCTCTGTACACATATTTAGAAAATATCTGTTTTATATTTAAGCCTGCAGCTAAGATTGGACTTTTTTACTGAGATGGTTTAGATGTCGATAGTCGATAGTTCAGATGATAAAATTTCAAGAAATGCTGCCAGTGAATTTCTTTTCCCCAATCTAAAATCGCAATAGCTCATTACATAAATACAAACATCTTGCAGACATACAAGAGAAATGTTCAAATCAATCAAAAATGTTTTTATAAATAAAATGCTGTCTAAATGTAAATGTGTGTTCACTGCTTTGCTTCAACGGTGTTGGATCATGAATAAAGTAAAAGAAGTTTGACCTGGGAGCTCCTTCTGGATATGCCAAAGTTTTACAAACAACAAAAATGCGGTGGCTGAGCACAAGTTTTTCTAAAATATTTAAAACAAAAAGACAACAGTAATATAATACAAAYACTATTTGTTTCAAACAATGAAAGGATGGGTCATTTGTGAAATATGCGATTAAACTAAAAACAGACAAAAACCTTTGTTCTCTCTGTCTTTAAAAGCACAATAATCATTTATATTCCAGACTCTAGGAAGTATGTGAGCCTCTCATTTGAAATCATGTGTGAGATTAAATTGAACAAAAGTTGGCCAACAAAGTCTGTTCACCGAAAACAAGACAGGTTGGTGTGAACCTTGAACCGCCCAAAACATTCAGAAGGCTTTTTGAAGAAYCACTTCAGAGATTCAGAAGCAGAGAATAAAAGCTACAGAATTTTCTGTTCAAAGAATGAGCATAATTGAGACTCTTCTACCAAAAAGCATACCCCCCYCAAAGTTTAACAGCACCATCGGGCAATTCAAAAAAAAAAAAAGCTGAAAAATAACTGCAACACCCCTGCAGTTTCACAATTCATCACAAACATGAAAGCACACCTTAAAATTGAGAATGACTGAGTATACCAAAACATTTCTGAGACACTTTACTTTTAAACTTCATTGTTAGTGAAAAAAACAAAAACAGACACTATACGTAAAGAAAAAAATGCTAATAATAAAATTAACGTTTGGTGAAACTTGGAAGTAAAATAATTTGTGACTTCTTTGTTTCTTCAAGTCTAATGTGTTTTCATTGCTGAATGAAAAGTGGAAAAAAAAATGAAGTTTTGACAATTTTTTTAAAGATTTTATGAATCTAGAGCTGCACGATGTATCATTTCATATTTATCATTGCAATGTACATCACAGGTCCTGCAATGTAGGAGGCAAATTATATCAATGTGTTATCTAGAGACTGAACTGCTAAACCATAAGGGATTGCACTAAATCATCACATGCTGCAGCTTTTATTTTGATGGGTTGCTTTCACCTGCAGAAAAAGGCGGCTTCGTGTCAAAATGACTAAAGCATTTGTTTTGTTTCAAAACTTTCGGGACCTTATACACCGTATTGGAAAAGTGCTGTGTGTGTGTATTCACAACATCGAGCTGAGCTGCTCCTCTCCTCTCCTCTGTCTCACACCGCAGGTCAGACAGACAGTCCCGTTCTGGAGCATTAACCCTTAAGGGCCCAGATAATAATCGGTCATTAAAATGTGGTAAATAAATTATTTAAAGTGACTGAGAGGAAGTTTTTTTGATAGTTGCATATTTGCCTTTTCTAAATGTTATCCCTTATATCTACAAGAGTTCTAATTCTTAGAAAGGACATGATTTGAGGTTTTTTACTGATAATATTTTATTTAAAACATGCTACAGAAGTCATAAGAAGCAGGTTTATTTTGAACAAACATTACAAACGTGTTCATTCCTACAAAACTGTCAAATATATTTACAAACAACACTAAACTGATTCAGATTAACATCAAATGAATCATGTTTTATAATTAAATGTCTGTTTCCTGCTATAAAGAAAAATCCTCCTCCTGTC